AGTACCTAGCCATCAATAATAAATTTTAAAAATTGACTACGTCAGCAATAGCAGAACAGATCAACTGTGGTACACTCACCAGTGGGCTACCACCTGCAATGAGAATGCGCAACTACAGCAGCTGAGTGACTCTCCCAGGCATAACATTGACAAGGAAAGCCAGGCTACTGAGAGTGTGTAGGGCATTATTCCACTTACATAATGCACTAGGCACAGGCCACACTCTTCTAATTTCCACTGTCAGAAATAAGGAGATGGTTACCCTTGGGGGACAGTGACTAGAGGAGACCAAAAGCATCTCTGGGTGATGGTCACGTTCTTGTGCTTGAGGTGGTACTCACACAGGGTGAGCACACTGAGGAAAAACTTGAGCTGTTCACCTAAAATGTGTGTGATACTTCACTAACTATTTTAGCAGCTAAGTCAGTGGGCCCTTTGGGCTCAGCATCTGCCTTCTCCAGGCGGGGCTGACTCCTGGACAGGTGCAGCATTGCCGATGGAACATTCCTGGAGACGGAGGTGCTCCCAGGAGGCTGTCTACACACTGCTGACAGCTAGTCCTCACTGCCCACCCTCTAACCTCACCAGATACACTGCACAAATGTGCAGGCAGCTGCAGCCAGCACACTGGCCTGTAGACCTAACAGGGCCCTTAGAAACTGTCTTGTAGCCAAGGTCAAGACCTCTCCAATCCCCGCTGTCCCCCAGAAGTTCGGCCTGAAGGACAACATGGAGATTGTTCCTAATCATTGCTGAAGGGACACAGTGACCTACTGAGCACCGGGCATATGGCAGATGAGTCATTCTATTTCAAGAAGAAAGACAGATGCACAGGAAGAAACAGCCAGCAGCTTTCAGTACAAAAGACCTCAATTGGGAGCTTCTGGAACAACAGAAAGTATATATAATTCAAAAGCCATCTTGACAACTTATATGCTTGAATTTCATAATTGTGATCAGTGTCTCCATACTTCAAAAATCCAAATGCCTCCTAAAGATACCTTTTCTCCTTGGCCACTGAAGTTTCAGAAAGACTTTCCTAAAAATCTTGCCAATCACATTCATAATTCCAATCTCCATGGGTATAAAATTCACTGGTTTTGCACGAAAGCTGTACATGAAAGAGTTATCCCCAGAGCCTAGCTTTTTCTCTTCCCTCTGCTGGTTTTTGGTCTCTTCCCCTGAGGCCCTGGCATAGGGACTGAAATAGGGCAAGTGTGGCTGGAGGAGCAAGATGGGACAGGACACAGCCAATTTGTACTTCTTAATCCCTTCACCTTTGTCACCCAGTCCCCAGCCCCCCTCTCAACTGGCACCCATTGGTTTGTTCTCTGTATCTGTGAGTCTGTTTCTCTTTTGTTTGTTTATTTTGTTTTTTAGATTCCACATATAAGTGAAATCTTGTAGTTTTTTTCTTTCTCTGACATTTCATTTAGCATAATACCCTCTAGGTCCATCCATGTTGTCAGAAATGGTAAGATTTCATTATTTTATGGGGCTGAGCAATACATCATTGTGTATATGTACCACATCTTTTTCACCCAGATGGCTAGATGGACACTTAGGTTGCTTCCGTATCCTAAAGCCCTCACTTCTTGACTTTGAGCATTACCTGACTCTCCGAGCTTCAGTGACCTCCTATGTGAAATATGTTCTGTGTCTCCCAGAGAAAATGCTTATAAAGTTCCAACACAGTGCCTGGTGCCCAGCCAGTGGTGACCACCAGTGATATTTGTGGCATAAACATAAAGGAGCACTTTTATCCTATCGGGTTGCTACAGAAACAATTTACTGGCACCCCAAAGCCAAATCTGAACATAGAAAACTGACACTAATTCCTTAACTTGTAGAAAACCAATAAGATCTCAGGAAAGATGTACCTGCCACCTTATACAAATCAGTCACTGATCTGTTAGACTTTCTGGTACATTTTCTATTCCCAAGGAGGTTCCCACTCTAAGAATGGTTAGAGGGTGCAGCCAAAGGGTGTTTAATGGCGATGAACAATGCTGTATATTGTAGGCTTTTGATTGACATTGGAAAGACTTTCAACAGTTCCTCAAAGGCAATAAAGAATTCTTCTTTCATCCTTCAACTTCTCTTTAATGGAGATCATTCGAGCGTTATTGGGCTGAGCGGTGATGCTGCTGGCAGAAACAATGGGTGCCCTTTTTGAGTTTATACCTTAGGTTGGTCCCTGTCTGACCACTTTGTTCTCCTGATGAAAAGATGACTCAATTTCCAAAGTAGAAATGGTTTGATGCTTTCAACCAATTCAGGAGGAAAGCAGCATAGCTTAGTTACATGAAAACTCTTTTTTAAGCAAACTGCCCTGGAGTTTTCCTTGATTGCAGCCTCTAACATCAATTGAATGTGAAGTGTTGACCTTTCCTAGGTGTCTTTAGATAGTAAATCAACTCCAAGCCCTCCTGTACTTACTACGATATACCACATACTGTGTATGCATTCATTTTTTAAGCTACAAACTCCCTTAACTTTACCTCCTGAGAATATCCCCAGTAAAATAATGTTTCCTTCCTTTTTTGTATCTCCAAATCCTAAAATATACAGTGTCCAAGTAAAATATTTAGGCTGCATAGTGGGGGTTGGGTGGCTCTGACTTTTGTCATGAAATAGTTTCTTCAGTTCTTATTGTTAAGTAGTTTTTCCCAAGAAACGTGTGGTGCTTACTAGAATACAGACTACATGTACGCCCCATTGGTGTGCATTTTCTAAGTATGCAGATCACGGTCCTGAGCTCTTCTAGCTAAAAGTTAGTTACTGGTCATTGCTTGGGGTCTGGGTTAGTCAGGTGTGGGTCTGAACTCCAGCTCCGGCACTGGGGACACGAGGGGCGTGAGACAGGGGCAGTGGAGGAGGGGCATCCCCTTCCCCATCAGAGGTCTCAGCTACAGCAGAGAGCACAGCCCCATCGTCTGGTGTCCTTTGCTTCAAACCATGTTGGCCTGTCCTTGCTCCTGCTGTGGGGGAACAGGCCAGGACAGGAGTGAGGCACTCCCACTCACAGCAGCCTGCACTTAAAGGGGCAGAGACCATAAACCAGGAAATGAAAGATGTAGTTATATACTTTAACACTTGTGGTCTTTATAAAAAGAATATAGTAAAGAAAGTCAGGCCCTGACTGGTTTGGCTCAGTGGATTGAGCGTCGGCCTGCAGACTGAAGCGTCCCAGGTTCGATTCCAGTCAAGGGTATGTACCTTAGTTGCAGGCACATCCCCATTGTGGGGTGTGCAGGAGGCAGCTGTTCGATGTTTCTCTCTCATCGATGTTTCTAGCTCTCTATCCCTCTCCCTTCCTCTCTGTAAAAAATCAATAAAATATATTTTTTTTAAAAAAAAGAAAGTCAGAATGCAAGCCTGAAGCCCTGGATGGTGTTGTCAATGGGTTGAGCATCTTCCTGTGCAATTTCTGGTTCAATTCTCGGTCAGGGTGCATGCAGGAGACAAGCAGTCGATGTTTGTCTCTCACATTGACTTTTTTTTATCTCTTTCTCTATCTTCTTCTCTCTCTAAAAATCAATAATAACATATCCTCGGTTGAAGATTAATTTTTTTAAAAAAGAATGCAAGTTGGAGATATTTGCAACTTATTTCACTGACAAAGGATCAACAGCACCTATCACAAGTAAGAATAAAGGATTCTTTAGAAAAAAAGGGAAGCCTGAATTGCCAAAAAGCATATGAAATGATGCTCAATGTCACTAATAATGAGGGGTCAGCAAATTGCATCCAGTGTTGGCTGAGCCCCAGAAATGACAATAATAACAGAGCAGGAGAAAGGTCCCTCACAAGGTTATGATTAACCTCAGGGGTTGGGGATGGGAGGCCCTGCCCTGCTCCCCCTCCAGACAACCCTCTAGGAATACAATGAGGTTTTTCTCTCTTTAAAAAGTGTTAAAAGCTGAAGCAGCCATGGTCAATGACATCAGAGAAACTTGTGTGGTAGGCACAGAATGTTATTTTCTGCATGATTAAAATATTTCACAATTTTTATAAAGCTCATAAATGATGAAAAGCAAATGAAAGTCTGACACTAGAAATGAGGGTAGACAGAGTCAGAAGAGGACCCCAAGATGCAGAAGCAATTTCCTTGAAACACAGACTTGGAGGGGACAAGACCGGACCCCCACTCCAACCCACTCCCTCGATGTGTAACCAGGGTTACTCAGGACCTTGTGAGGCTTTCCCTGCAGAGTCTGGGGCTGATTCTGGGATCCACCTGGCCCACTGTACTGACTGATAACAGGCTATCATGACTGAAGTTTCAATTTTTTATAATAAGAAAGTGATGTTATTAGCCAAGTCCTGATGTTAATAACATTCATTACTTGTTAAAAATGTGGGCACTGGGAAAGGGCAGGACCTAAGTTCTAATCTATTACAGACTTTCATTTAAATTTTCTGAGGTTTGAGTTTGTCTTCATTTCTGATATTTAAAAAAATAAATAAATTCACTGTGAGAGAATATCAGTTCACGTTGGGTCAAAGATAATTATATTACTTTCCAAAATGTCAAGGATTCAGACTTTTGTATTCTGTGAAATAATCTGATCACAGCAACTTGTGTTTCTTTGTGATAGCAATTAAGTCAAGTAGCAAGAACCTCTCATTTTAGGCTTTAAATGGACATAAATGAGTGAAAAATGTTTACTAGTATTTTTCCTTGCTCTTTCTGTGGACTCACATAATGAATGGAATGCACAGCTTTCTTTCTTGATTATTGCTTTAAAAAGAAATTGTCATGCCTCATTACTCATATTCAAAGAGAGATGACATACTTCATTATAGGATTTTTATATATTGCTAATGTCTAGAAAACTCAGCAGGTTAATTCTCTCTGTACAAGATGAAACTGATCGAGTGAATTGGACATTATAAAAGCCCAGACACTGTGACCTGAGAACTTCATAGAAGAGAGCACCCAAGGACCCAAAAATCTAAGTCTAGCATCAGGCATATAAGATTTTACCAGGAGTGACTCCCACCGACAGAGTGCTGGGGAGCGGCAGCAGCCACCACAGCGGTAGAAGCAGCAATTTATCTGTGTGCAGACCCAATATTGGAAGAAGATGCTAATTAAAGTGAAGATGACCGGAAAGAAGGAGATTGAGATTGACATTGAACCCACAGATAAAGTGGAACGAATCAAGGAACGTGTGGAAGAGAAAGAGGGAATCCCCCCACAGCAGCAGCGGCTCATCTGCAGTGGTAAGCAGATGAATGATGAGAAGACAGCAGCTGATTATAAAATCCTAGGTGGTTCAGTCCTCCACCTGGTGTTGGCTCTAAGAGGAGGAGGTGGCTTTAGGCAGTGATGGACCCTCTCTCCATTTTACCTCCTTACCCTGTCTCTCGTGATGAGGCATCATATATCCTGTCACTCTCTGGGACACCAGAGTCACTGCCCCCTCTCCTGGATGCCCAGTCTTGTGTGTCTACGGGTAGGAGACTGTGAGGACCCCAGGATGCAGTGTTCCTGTCCCAAATGGCCCCTGCTGGCTATTGGGTTTTAGTTTGCAGTCCTGTGTACTTCCCTCTCTTATGGCTATGTCCCTGGTTGTCAATAAAATATTTCCTGGCCAAAAAAAGGAAAAGATTTTACCAGAAGTTTCTCTAAGATTGATCTAAGAACCATAGTATTCAACAGGTAATTTTAAAAATACTAAGTAGTATAAATTGCCTATAGGAAATGGAAGTTGTGAAAAATTGCTAAAAATGTATCATAAGATTTATAAGAAATGCCCAAATTAAAGAAGCTAAATTATTTATAGCCATTTCAAAGCCAGGTTAAGCAAAGTTTCAGGTGTCAGTTTGGAAGAGTCTCTGGTAAAATATGATATCCATGGTCACGGGACAAGTTCTAACCTCAGGAAGCTGTAGTAGAAGAACATTGGACTTGAAGTCCGGAGACATGGGCTCCTTTGTCTCCTCAGTGTGGGGAGGAGAGGCTCCCACCCTCTCTGTTGCCCAGCATGCCTTTCTGACCCCTCCTCCTTGGGAGGAGCCCATTCTGAGGGTTCAAGTAAGGTGAACCCCCTCTTACCTACATAAGATGCTGGGAATCTCATATTGGCTCCCTAAACCCAACCTACCCTTCTCTACCCAGCTCTGGGTCCTGAAAGACCAACCAGCTGGCCTGTGTTAGCAGCTCCCTTGCACCCTGGCTTCCATGAGTCACTAGAGAGAAGGGTAGGAGGAAAGTGAGGTCAGGAGCTTATTCCCAGCTCCTTTCCCATCCGGCGTCACCGATTCTGTCCAAAGGTGCCCTTGGTTCCAGGAACTGCCCCCCTGCCCCTCCAGGCTTAGGAAGGGTGACCACAGCCTGGGCATGTATTCTCTCTCCTGGCTTCCCTAAGTCCTCCCTACAACTTTGCAAATAACCCATTTATTATGTTCTTCTCAAGTTGCCCATCGATTTCCTGCAGGGACCCTGGCTAATGTCCTAGATCCTCTACCTCCAGCTCCACCCAGGGGCTGGGCCCTGGCAGTTCTAGACTGAGATCACCAAACCGCTGGTGCTCCCAATGAAAAGAGAGCCTCCCTCTTAGTGCTGCAGCCAAGTGAGGTGTAGACCTGCGTTTGTAAAGAAACCTCTGCAAGAGAGTAAAAGATGATTAGGAAGAAGGCAAACTGGAGGCAGAGAGACTTGTTTTTCTCATACCTTTCCCTGCTGAGTCTCGGACTCCCCCCCCCCCCCCCCAGCACACTGGGCTGACTCTGCTAACACATACTAGGTGCTGGGAATGCGAATGTGATCAGAAACAGCCGAGTCTGCAGTCTGAAGAACTCATTGAATATAAATGTTATCACCTTGAACTGAATTAGACTTTATTTGGGACATTAACATTGTTTGCAAAGTCCCCCAGGTTTAAATGTTCAATGCAGAAGTTTCTGATTTATTTTCCTAAAGTAATGTTTAGACTGACCAGAATCACCCAGGTTTGGAGGTTATACCTCATCTGGCCATTTCAGTCATTGTGGGACGGTGCACTGTCTCTCTTAATCGCCATGGCAGCAGCGGAGGAAGTTTCTGTTATTAACCGAACATTACAGAAGAGGAAGCCACGGCTTAAAGTCACATACCCAACATGGTAGGGTTGAAATTCAGGCCCTAGTAATTCTGACTCCTCTACTCTTCATCTTAACCTCTACCCTATAGTATAATCTTTTTTGATAATTAGTCTGATCAGACCTAATCTTCTAATCATTAAAAAATTTCCAACAAAATTTAACCTATGGACACAGACAATAGCATGGGGAAGCCGTGGAGTGGAGTGGAGGTTGGGGGATGGGGGGAAGGGAGAAAATGTGAGATATCTGTAATACTGTCAACAACAAAAATTATGCCTAAGAATGGTGTGTAGGAACATGCTAAACCCCCAGAGCACTTATACTTTCGAAAACTGTCAAAACTTACACTCTGGTGTAGCTGCCAAGGCCAGAGTTCTCTGTCAGCCCCAAACCAGACACCAGGCCTGAAGCCTTCATGCAGCACACACACAGATGGATCATCAGCAGCTGGGTAAACTGAAAAAAATAATAAAAATGACTCATTTTATAGATGCAAGTATTAGGAAACAAATAAAAATATATACCTAGTGTGGGAGGAAGAACTTTTTTTTTTTTGAACTAAACAATGCGTTTAACTTCGTTATAGGACGTAGGGAAAAGATGGCCAAGGTATAGCAAAATCAATAGATAATTCCAATGCACATTACCCTCCAGATTGAATTGAAATTATTTTTCAAATAAAATTTCCATTGTTAGAGTACCTACTAAGAAACATGTTAGAGGAATATAGTAAAAATACTATTTAATTGCAAGACGACAGTAATTTTCTGAGCGAATGTAAAGCCACCGATGTGTTAAGTTTCAAGTTTAACATAGTAATGACATCTTAAACACCAGGAAGCAAAATGACTGACTGCTTGTTTCTGGTGCTTTTTTAAAGAATGTATTTGTTTGTCTCCACACCCCTGTTTCTGCCCCAGCTTCTGACTCCTTGGCCATCTGCCCTCAGCTTCCTTGACATGCACTAGGAAAAAAGGGCCAGAGCCAGCAAAACCCAAGACCATTGCTAGTTTCTAGTGCAGGAAGTCCTACCTCAAGACTGAGTTCCAAGCGTCCTTCCTGGAGGTGGAGAAAATAAGGATGAAAAGAGCTTTCTACAGTTCAGCTCTGAGATCCAAAACTTAATCCTCTCCAGGCTGAGTGATAAACCTCTTTTCCTGTAACTGCAAAAACTGTGCCGTGTTCAGGCATCTCAGGGACCTGGAGACCACACCCAACGAGAGCTCTTCAGAGGCCAAGAGCAGCAAGCACCTCCGCAAGCTTGCAGCACTCGTTCTGAAAGTTCAGTTACTACAGATAATCCACAGAAGAGCTGCCTCGCATGTTCAGATGACATCGGTTCAGGATTCGAGTGTCTTTGCCATTGTAATTCGAGGAAGTTCTCAATGCAGCCAGAAACAGAGAAATCACAGCTGGCAGCTCCGGGAGGCCAACGGGAAGAAGCGGCATGCACGGAGAGAGGTTGGTCCACACGCTTCTCATGGCACTCAGAGTCCAGGGACAAATGACCCTCCAGATTCTGGATGAAGTGCAGTAAGTAGCCGCTTGGAGAGGACTCCTTGTGACACTTCAAGAAAGTGTCACTGGCCATCGTAACATATACAACTGCTGGCTTATGTGAGCACCCAAATTTTCCTTTCCATTTTATAACTGTTTAAATGAAAGCTGACCATACTCTATATTTTTTAAAAATACTCATTAGCTGTCTAAAGAGGAGAATCTATCGGGTTGGTTCTATGTGCTAAGAGAGATATTATATGCACAGATATTTTAGGCATAACAATGTTCTCTCAAATTTGGTTGATATAAATATTAAGTGTTTTTTTAAAAAAATTTTATTGATTTTTTTTTACAGAGAGGAAGGGAGAGGGATAGAGAGTTAGAAACATCAATGAGAGAGAATCATCGATCAGCTGCCTCCCGCACACTCCCCACTGGGTATGTGTCCTCAACCAAGGTACATGCCCTTGACTGGAATCGAACATGGGACCCTTGAGTCTGCAGGCCGACGCTCTATCCACTGAGCCAAACTGATCAGGGCTAAATATTATGCTTTTAACTGATGAAGTTTGAGTCTGTCGTTTGCCTGTCCTGACAGTCTAATTGTCAGCTCTTCCTCCAAGTGCAATTGATCAGAGTTTCTCACTTTTGGTTTCTGTAATCGGGTAGGATATACCTCAGTAATTTTAAGCACCAGCCTTACCTCCCTCCCGGTAAAGGAAAACTCATAAACGGTTCAAGAGCTCTAAACAGTCCCGCATTCACTGTGTCCCTACTTCAGTGTGAGGATAAATAGCCTCTCTCCACTCCACTGGATTGGAATCAGCCACACATCTCAAGATTTCCCGCTCCGGGTCCTCTTATCTCACACTTTGCCTGCAGAGCCTGCTTAATGGCAAGCTGAGTGACTTGTTTACCTTCACACTTTTGGGGAAACAAATCAGTATTTTGCTTAAGAGCCAATTGCATCCTAAGAAACTGATCATTTTTTTAAGTGTGTGCTGCCAAAGCGAGCTCAGTTCTTCTTATTTTCCCCCCTGAATGTGGAGTATATGTTTCTCTTGAATTCTAATTAAATTCAGACGATTATCAGTGGAATACCAAAAAAGTTTGGAGCAGAATGTTGAAGAGACATGTGGAAAGTATCCAGAAGAAAGTAGTGAAAATAAATAAAAGATGCAAACAGAAGACAAACTGGCTGAGAAGGAATTCCCCCACTGCCCGCTCACTAATGCAGAATGTCAAGTGCTTATAAGCACACATTGACATAATCCCCCAGTGTCTGCTCAGAAGCCTTCCTGCACCAGTTCCATAGCACCACTGTTGTCAACTAAAGATGGTGCCCCTCCGTTCATAGGAATGTAACCAACTGTGTTAGAGGTTTTAGGGCAGCGTGATTGTTATTTCTAAAGAGCTCAACATTTAGGAGTTATTTCAAAATAAAACCAAGTTAAATTAGCACCCAAGTACGAATGATGAGTGAGGACCCCAAGGATAACAGAAGAAAGATGGCATCCTTTCCTGAATCCATCACCAGCATCTTCACATTAATGTGTGCTGAGTGTCAACGCCATACAAAGTACTATAGACAGTCACCTTGAGTTGTTATTTCCATTTGTAAAAATTATCCAAACATTCCCTATCTCGATGCTGCCCTTTTTAAAACATGTTTTAATTTATTTTAGAGGGGGGGGAAGGAAGAGGGAGAGAGAGAGGAATGTGGATGTGAGAGAAAAGCATCGATCGGCTGCCTCCTGCACACCCTGACTGGGGATGAGCCTGCAACCTGAGCTTGTGCCCTGACCAGGAATTAAACCAGCAATCTTTTGGGGTATAGGACAACGTCTCACCAACTGAGCCACACTAGCCCAAGCTAATTATCAAGTAATTTAACTGCTAATAAATGAAATATTGTAGGACATAGAGATATTTCATAATGATAAGATAATTATTTCATGAGGAAGACCTACAATTCTAAATATTTATGCACCCAGTAACAGAGTTTCAAAA